TTGCCAGGGTTTATTTACTTTGACGAAATAAGTTAGTAGTTTTATCTATAGGACTAGCTATAGACTAGACTATAGACTAGACTATAGACTAGACTATAGACTAGACTATAGACTAGACTATAGACTAGACTATAGACTAGAACTATGACTAGACTATAGACTATAGACTAGACTATAGGCTAGACGATAGGACTAGACTATAGATAGACTATAGGTTAGCTTATAGACTAGACTATAGACTAGATTATAGACTAGACTATAGACTAGATTATCGACTAGACTATAGACTAGACTATAGACTAGACTAATAGACTGACTACTAGACTAGACTATAGACTAGACTATAGACTAGACTATAGACTAGACTATAGACTAGACTATAGACTAGACTATAGACTAGACTATAGACTAGACTATAGACTAGACTATAGACTAGACTATAGACTAGACTATAGACTAGACTATAGACTAGACTATAGACTAGACTATAGACTAGACTATAGACTAGACTATAGACTAGACTATAGACTAGACTATAGACTAGACTATAGACTAGACTATAGACTAGACTATAGACTAGACTATAGACTAGACTATAGACTAGACTATAGACTAGACTATAGACTAGACTATAGGCTAGACTATAGACTAGACTATAGACTAGACTATAGACTAGACTATAGACTAGACTATAGACTAGACTATAGACTAGACTATAGACTAGACTATAGACTAGACTATAGACTAGACTATAGACTAGACTATAGACTAGACTATAGACTAGACTATAGACTAGACTATAGACTAGACTATAGACTAGACTATAGACTAGACTATAGACTAGACTATAGACTAGACTATGACTAGACTATAGACTAATAGACTAGACTAGCAGATAAGACTAGACTATAGACTAGACTATAGAAGACTATAGACTAGACTATAGACTAGACTATAGACTAGACTAAGATAGACTAGACTAGACTATGACTAGACTAGACTAGACTATAGACTAGACTATAGACTAGACTATAGACTAGACTATAGACTAGACTATAGACTAGGACTATAGACTAGACTATAGACTAGACTATAGACTAGACTAGACTAGATAGACTAGACTATAGACTAGACTATAGACTAGACTATAGACAGACTATAGGACTAGACATAGCTAACTATAGACTAGACTATAGACTAGACTATAGACTAGACTATAGACTAGACTATAGACTAGACTATAGACTAGACTATAGACTAGCCTAGACTAGACTAGACTAGACTATAGACTAGACTATAGACTAGACTATAGACTAGACTATAGACTAGACTATAGACTAGACTATAGTCTAGACTATAGACTAGACTATAGACTAGACTATAGACTAGACTATAGACTAGACTATAGACTAGACTATAGACTAGACTATAGACTAGACTATAGACTAGACTATAGACTAGACTATAGACTAGACTATAGACTAGACTATAGACTAGACTATAGACTAGACTATAGACTAGACTATAGACTAGACTAGACTCTAGACTAGACTAGACTCTAGACTAGACTAGACTATAGACTAGACTATAGACTATAGACTAGACTATAGACTAGACTAGACTAGACTAGACTATAGACTAGACTAGACTAGACTCTAGACTAGACTAGACTCTAGACTAGACTAGACTCTAGACTAGACTAGACTCTAGACTAGACTCTAGACTAGACTATAGACTAGACTAGACTATAGACTAGACTAGACTCTAGACTAGACTACTATAGACTAGAACTATAGACTAGACTCTAGACTAGACTATAGACTAGACTATAGGCTAGACTATAGGCTAGACTATAGGCTAGACTATAGACTAGACTATAGACTAGACTATAGGCTAGACTATAGGCTAGACTATAGGCTAGACTATAGACTAGACTAGAGCTAGACATATAGGCTAGACTATAGACTAGACTATGAGGCTAGACTATAGACTATACTATAGACTAGACTATAGACTAGACTATAGACTAGACTCTAGACTAGACTCTAGACTAGACTCTAGATTAGACTCTAGACTAGACTCTAGACTAGACTCTAGACTAGACTCTAGACTAGACTCTAGACTAGACTCTAGACTAGACTCTAGACTAGACTCTAGACTAGACTCTAGACTAGACTCTAGACTAGACTCTAGACTAGACTCTAGACTAGACTCTAGACTAGACTAGACTAGACTAGACTAGACTATAGACTAGTATAGACTAGACTATAGACTAGACTATAGACTAGACTATAGACTAGACTATAGACTAGACTATAGACTATAGACTAGACTAGACTAGACTAGACTATAGACTAGACTATAGACTAGACTATAGACTAGACTATAGACTAGACTATAGACTAGACTATAGACTAGACTATAGACTAGACTATGAATAGACTATAGACTAGACTATAGAATAGACTATAGACTAGACTATAGACTAGACTATAGACTAGACTATAGACTAGACTATTGACTAGACTATAGACTAGACTATAGACTAGACTATAGACTAGACTATAGACTAGACTATAGACTAGACTATAGACTAGACTATAGACTAGACTATAGACTAGACTATAGACTAGACTATAGACTAGACTATAGACTAGACTATAGACTAGACTATAGACTAGACTATAGACTAGACTATAGACTAGACTATAGACTAGACTATAGACTAGACTATAGACTAGACTATAGACTAGACTAGCTATAGACTAGACTATAGACTAGACTATAGACTAGACTATAGACTAGACTATAGACTAGACTATAGACTAGACTATAGACTAGACTATAGACCTAGACTATAGACTAGACTATAGACTAGACTATAGACTAGACTATAGACTAGACTATAGACTAGACTATAGACTAGACTATGACTAGACTATAGACTAGACTATAGACTAGACTATAGACTAGACTATAGACTAGACTATAGACCTAGACTATAGACTAGACTATAGACTAGACTATAGACTAGACTATAGACTAAACTATAGACTATAGACTAGACTATAGACTAGACTATAGACTAGACTATAGACTAGACTATAGACTAGACTATAGACTAGACTATAGACTAGACTATAGACTAGACTATAGACTAGACTATAGACTAGACTATAGACTAGACTATAGACTAGACTATAGACTAGACTATAGACTAGACTATAGACTAGACTATAGACTAGACTATAGACTAGACTATAGACTAGACTATAGACTAGACTATAGACTAGACTATAGACTAGACTATAGACTAGACTATAGACTAGACTATAGACTAGACTATAGACTAGACTATAGACTAGACTATAGACTAGACTATGACTAGACTATAGACTAGACTATAGACTAGACTATAGACTAGACTATAGACTAGACTATAGACTAGACTATAGACTAGACTATAGACTAGACTATAGACTAGACTATAGACTAGACTATAGACTAGACTATAGACTAGACTATAGACTAGACTATAGACTAGACTATAGACTAGACTATAGACTAGACTATAGACTAGACTATAGACTAGACTATAGACTAGACTATAGACTAGACTATAGACTAGACTATAGACTAGACTATAGACTAGACTATAGACTAGACTATAGACTAGACTATAGACTAGACTATAGACTAGACTATAGACTAGACTATAGACTAGACTATAGACTAGACTATAGACTAGACTATAGACTAGACTATAGACTAGACTATAGACTAGACTATAGACTAGACTATAGACTAGACTATAGACTAGACTATAGACTAGACTATAGACTAGACTATAGACTGGACTATAGACTAGACTATGGACTAGACTATAGACTAGACTATAGACTAGACTATAGACTAGACTATAGACTAGACTATAGACTAGACTATAGACTAGACTATAGACTAGACTATAGACTAGACTATAGACTAGACTATAGACTAGACTATAGACTAGACTATAGACTAGACTATAGACTAGACTATAGACTAGACTATAGACTAGACTATAGACTAGACTATAGACTAGACTATAGACTAGACTATAGACTAGACTATAGACTAGACTATAGACTAGACTATAGACTAGACTATAGACTAGACTATAGACTAGACTATAGACTATTGGGATCAAATACTTTGATCCCAATATCCACGAGCAGATGTAACCTCATTCGACGACCTTAAAGAGATTTGCCTAGTTTTTTTATTGATTCCTTAAAACCTACTAGGATGGCTAATATGGATCTTTGATCCTATATAAAAGATCTTTAGAACACTTTCTATACCAACTAATAACACTTGGGTAACACTTTATACTAGTGATATTGTGCGCGCACACTTTGTTTTTTTTATCTTCTCACACTCTCTCGCTCTCTCTCCCCTAATTTAGATGTTGTGTGTGCAAGAGTAAAAAAAAGTTAGGGTGTATGTGTTAGAGTGTTTGTTTCTAACATTTAGTATTTGACTAAATAACAGTATTGCTAAAGTTTTGTTGTTGTTGCTGTTGTTATTTGCCTTCGTCACTAAATTCTGTGTAGTGTGTGTTTGTTTTTTCGCCTGTGGGCCATAGCGGGCATACAAGTGAGTTTAGGTTTTCTTACTATTTTTTTTTACAATATTTTGTTGTTATTTTTATTTAAACAGTTTTTTTTGCTTTCGACTCGTGCACTTACACTCAAAAAATAAACAAAAAATACTAAAAAGCAAACAACTACAACATTTACCATTCACGAGTTTAGCAGTGAAATGTTGTTGTTGGTGTGAGCAAAATAATCATTAAAAATGTTATTGTTGTGAGTGAGTTAGTGTATGTGTGTGTGTGTAAGAGTAAAACAAAATTATGTTGTGTGTCTTGGGCTGTCTATTTGTTGTCGTCGTCGTCGTAGTTGCTCTACTTAGCAATTGCTCTACTCTGGCATAGTATTCTGCTGTCGTCTGTCGTAGTTAACAGTTGTCGTGGTACGTTGCTCATCATCACATGTGAATTTACGGTGAAGAGGAGTACAAAAAAACACACAAAATCTTTGTATTGTTTAGTGTCAAAATAAAGCCAGAAAAAAGCTTAATTTTTTAAAGAAAAAAAATTCAAATAAAAATAGAAATAAATACAAAAGTCAGCTGTTCGAAACGTATTTTTTTATACCTGCAACAAAATAATATAAATTTTTATAAAAAATTTAAAAAAATATTTAAAACTAATTTAAGTTAAATTTTTCGGTTTTTTCTACAACAGCACACGGTTTAAATTTTAATTATAATTAAATAACGTTCTTCAAAAGAAATAAACGTTATTATTTGAAGTTTAGTGGATAAAATAACCAAAAAAAAGTGTCATTGCTAATAAACAACCACAAAAAATTAAAAATTCCTTTAAACAAGCAGATATCACTCATACGTCTAGAGGTCCCTTATGTAGAAAAAACTAAACGTAAAGAAAGAACGAAATAAAAAGGTTTGTGTTTAAACAATTTTATTTTTATTTAATTTCTTTAAAGTTTTTTTTTTGTGTTTATGTATATTTTTTTTAAATTCTAAGTGCCAGTGTAGTAGTGTAATATATTAAGTGAGCCAGCAACAAATTCTATAAACAATTACGTAAATCAAATTCATAATAAATCATAAAAAATATTAAAAAATTAATAAAATTAAATAAATTTATTAAACATAAATTTTAATAACAAAATTAATTTATTAACCATTAAAACCTTAAAAAAAACAAATATAAATCTTTTGTTATAAAACAATAAAACTGTCAAAAAGTATTTAAATTTTAAAAATAAACAAATCTTCAAAATCTACTTCAATTAAATAATTACATAATTTACATTTAAAAAAAAGCTTGTGTAATTTTGTTTAAATATTTATTTTGTTTAAAATTCTATTCCATTTTTATCGCTTAAAATAAATAATTTTACAAAAAACTCTTAAACACGGAAAATATTTATTTATAAAAAAAAACAGGAAAAAATCTGTTTATATAATAACTCAAATAAACTTAAACATTTATTGTAGTTAATTTAATTAAAAAGCATTATAATAACAATAACAAATAAATGAAAAAATAAACAAATTTAAAAAAAACACACACACACACACTATAAATGACAAAATAAAAAATAAATTAATTCTAGATCCCAGTGAACTCATTTAGGGTTTTAATTCCAAAAAATAAAGTAAATATTAATAAAAAAAAAATATTTAAAATTAAACAAACAAGTATCAACAGTTTTAAGTTTAAAAAAACATCAAAATGAATGCAGTTTTTTTAAATTATATAAAAAATACTTTTCGACTTAATTAATTAAAAATGTGCCTTTAACTAACTAAAAATTCCAGCAGAAATTTAAGCCTTTAGGTCGCTTTAGTTTTCTTTAATTTTTCTTTAATAAAGTATAAGGAATCATCCACTGAAACTGTAAAAAAATTATACAGATTTTTCAAAAGTGTTCGATATTGAAGTGATATAAATCCGTTGCAAAACTAAAAGGATTTAAGTACTTGAAGCCGAATTGAAAAATCTCATTGATTTTTAAACTTTGAGTACTCTTTACAAACTTATAAAAAGTTTACATAGAGCAGCTTTTCTAAAATTTAGAAAAGGTCTTCCACAAGTCCACGACCGAAAAAAAAAACAAATAAATGATTTTAACATTGATGCTCCTTCAAGAGATATGATAAGTTCTGTTCTAATTGTGTTCTAGTTGTGTTCTAATTCTGTTCTAGTTCCGTTCTAGTTCTGTTCTAGTTCTGTTCTAGTTCTGTTCTAGTTCTGTTCTAGTTCTGTTCTAGTTCTGTTCTAGTTCTGTTCTAGTTCTGTTCTAGTTCTGTTCTAGTTCTGTTCTAGTTCTGTTCTAGTTCTGTTCTAGTTCTGTTCTAGTTATGTTCTAGTTCTGTTCTAGTTCTGTTCTAGTTCTGTTCTAGTTCTGTTCTAGTTCTGTTCTAGTTCTGTTCTAGTTCTGTTCTAGTTCTGTTCTAGTTCTGTTCTAGTTCTGTTCTAGTTCTGTTCTAGTTCTGTTCTAGTTCTGTTCTAGTTCTGTTCTAGTTCTGTTCTAGTTCTGTTCTAGTTCTGTTTCTAGTTCTGTTCTAGTTCTGTTCTAGTTCTGTTCTGTTCTGTTCTAGTTCTGTTCTAGTTCTGTTCTAGTTCTGTTCTAGTTTGTTCTAGTTCTGTTCTAGTTCTGTTCTAGTTCTGTTCTAGTTCTGTTCTAGTTCTGTTCTAGTCTGTTCTAGTTCTGTTCTAGTTCTGTTCTAGTTCTGTTCTAGTTCTGTTCTAGTTCTGTTCTAGTTCATTTCTGTTCTAGTCAGTTCTGTTCTAGTTCTAGTTCTGTTCTAGTTCTAGTTCTGTGTTCTTGCTGTTCTGTTCTGTTCTGTTCTGTTCTAGTTCTAGTTCTGGTTCTAGTTCTGTTCTAGTTCTGTTCTAGTTCTGTTCTAGTCTGTTCTAGTTCTGTTCTAGTTCTGTTCTAGTTCTTTCTAGTTTCTGTTCTAGTTTCTGTTCTAGTTCTGTTCTAGTTCTGTTCTAGTTCTGTTCTATTGTTCTGTTCTAGTTCTGTTCTAGTTCTGTTCTAGTTCTGTTCTAGTTCTGTTTCTAGTTCTGTTCTAGTTCTGTTCTAGTTCTGTTCTAGTTCTGTCTAGTTTCGTTCTAGTTCTGTTCTAGTTCTGTTCTAGTTCTGTTCTAGTTCTGTTCTAGTTCTTGTTCTTATGTTCTGTTCTAGTTCTGTTCTAGTTCTGTTCTAGTTCTGTTCTAGTTCTGTTCTAGTTCTGTTCTAGTTTGTTCTAGTTCTGTTCTAGTTCTTTTCTAGTTCTTTTCTAATTCTGTTCTAGTTCTGTTCTAGTTCAGTTCTAGTTCTAGTTCTGTTCTAGTTCTGTTCTAGTTCTAGTTCTGTTCTATTCTGTTCTAGTTCTAGTTCTGTTCTAGTTCTGTTCTAGTTCTGTTCTAGTTCTGTTCTAGTTCTGTTCTAGTTCTGTTCTAGTTCTGTTCTAGTTCTGTTCTAGTTCTGTTCTAGTTCTGTTCTAGTTCTGTTCTAGTTCTGTTCTAGTTCTGTTCTAGTTCTGTTCTAGTTCTGTTCTAGTTCTGTTCTAGTTCTGTTCTAGTTCTGTTCTAGTTCTGTTCTAGTTCTGTTCTAGTTCTGTTCTAGTTCTGTTCTAGTTCTGTTCTAGTTCTGTTCTAGTTCTGTTCTAGTTCTGTTCTAGTTCTGTTCTAGTTCTGTTCTAGTTCTGCTCTAGTTCTGTTCTAGTTCTGTTCTAGTTCTGTTCTAGATCTGTTCTAGTTCTGTTCTAGTTCTGTTCTAGTTCTGTTCTAGTTCTGTTCTATTTCTGTTCTAGTTCTGTTCTAGTTTTGTTCTAATTTTGTTCTAATTTTGTTCTAATTGTGTTCTAGTTCTGTTGTATCCTGATTTATTCTCTACATGTTGACAGACGGACATCGCTCATATCTTCATTATTTATGGGTAAATTTTTCAAATTTTAATTAAAAAATTCTTCAAATGCATGGTATGGAGAACTACAGAAGATTTAGTTCTCGAAGAAAATTTTTTAAAATTGTTTTCATCATAAGGATAGACAGACATCGCTAAAATGCACTTTACCTTTTAGAATTGTTTGTTGTCTAGTTCTCATGGAAAATCTTTCATTGTTGTCGTCCTATGTTCAGAAATTCAGTTTCCTTGACATAACATTTAGTATTTGACTAAATAACAGTATTGCTAACGTTTTGTTGTTGTTGCTGTTGTTATTTGCCTTCGTCACTAAAGTCTGTGTAGTGTGTGTTTGTTTTTTCGCCTGTTGGCCATAGCGGGCATACAAGTGAGTTTAAGTTTTTCTTACTATTTTTTTCACAATATTTTGTTGTTATTTTTATTTAAACAAAAAATACTAAAAAGCAAACAACTACAACATTTACCATTCACGAGTTTAGCAGTGAAATGTTGTTGTTGTTGTTGGTGTGAGCAAAATAATCATTAAAAATGTTATTGTTGTGAGTGAGTAAGTGTATGTGTGTGTGTAAGAGTAAAACAAAATTATGTTTTGTGGCTTGGGCTGTCTGTTTGTTGTCGTCGTCGTAGTTGCTCTACTTAGCAATTGCTCTACTCTGGCATAGTATTCTGCTGTCGTCTGTCGTAGTTAACAGTTGTCGTGGTACGTTGCTCATCATCACATGTGAATTTACGGTGAAGAGGAGTACAAAAAAAAAAACACACAAAATCTTTTGTATTGTTTAGTGTCAAAATAAAGCCAGAAAAAAGCTTAATTTTTTAAAGAAAAAAAATTCAAATAAAAATAGAAATAAATACAAAAGTCAGCTGTTCGAAACGTATTTTTTTTATACCTGCAACAAAAATAATATAAATTTTTATAAAAAATTTAAAAAAATATTTAAAACTAATTTAAGTTAAATTTTTCGGTTTTTTCTACAACAGCACACGGTTTAAATTTTAATTATAATTAAATAACGTTCTTCAAAAGAAATAAAACGTTATTATTTGAAGTTTAGTGGATAAAATAACCAAAAAAAAGTGTCATTGCTAATAAACAACCACAAAAAATTAAAAATTCCTTTAAACAAGCAGATATCACTCATACGTCTAGAGGTCCCTTATGTAGAAAAAACTAAACGTAAAGAAAAGAACGAAATAAAAAGGTTTGTGTTTAAAACAATTTTATTTTTATTTAATTTTTTTAAAGTTTTTTTGTGTTTATGTATATTTTTTTAAATTCTAAGTGTCAGTGTAGTAGTGTAATATATTAAGTGAGCCAGCAACAAAATTCTATAAACAATTACGTAAATCAAATTCATAATAATCATAAAAAATATTAAAAATTAATAAAAATAAAATAAATTTATTAAACATAAATTTTAATAACAAAATTAATTTATTAACCATTAAAACCTTAAAAAAACCAAAATATAAATCTTTTGTTATAAAACAATAAAACTTTCAAAAAAGTATTTAAATTTTAAAAATAAACAAATCTTCAAAATCTACTCTAATAAAATAATTACATAATTTACATTAAAAAAAAAAAAATAGCTTGTGTAATTTTGTTTAAATATTTATTTTGTTTAAAATTGTATTCAATTTTTATCACTTAAAGTAAATAATTTTACACAAAACTCTTAAACACGGAATATATTTATTTATTTATAAAAAAAACAGGAAAAAATCTGTTTATATAATAACTCAAATAAACTTAAACATTTATTGTAGTTAATTTAATTAAAAAGCATTATAATAACAATAACAAATAAATGAAATATAAACAAATTTAAAAAAAAAACAAAACACACACACACACTATAAATGACAAAATAAAAAATAAAATTAATTCTAGATCCCAGTGAACTCATTTAGGGTTTTAATTCCAAAAAATTAAGTAAATATTAATAAAAAAAATATTTAAAAATTAAACAAACAAGTGTCAACAGTTTTTAAGTTTAAAAAATATCAAAATGAATGCAGTTTTTTTGTAAATTTTATCAAAAAATACTTTTCGACTTAATAAATTAAAAACATGCCGTTAACTAACCAAAAATTCCAGCAGAAATTTAAGCCTTTAGGTCGCTCAGTGATAATTTAGTTTTCTTTAATTTTTTCTTTAATAAAGTATAAGGAATCATCCACTGAAACTGTAAAAAAATTATACAGATTTTTCAAAAGTGTTCGATATTGAAGTGATATAAATCCGTTGCAAAACTAAAAGGATTTAAGTACTTGAAGCCGAATTGAAAAATCTCATTGATTTTAAACTTTGAGTACTCATTACAAACTTATAAAAAGTTTCCATAGAGCAGCTTTTCTAAAATTTAGAAAAGGGCTTTCACAAGTCCAAGACCGAAAAAAAACAAATAAATGATTTTAACATTGATGCTCCTTCAAGAGAAATGATGAGTTCTGTTCCAGTTCTGTTCTAGTTCTGTTCTAGTTCTGTTCTAGTTCTGTTCTAGTTCTGTTCTAGTTCTGTTCTAGTTCTGTTCTAGTTCTGTTCTAGTTCTGTTCTAGTCTGTTCTAGTTCTGTTCTAGTTCTGTTCTAGTTCTGTTCTAGTTCTGTTCTAGTTCTGTTCTAGTTCTGTTCTAGTTCTGTTCTAGTTCTGTTCTAGTTCTGTTCTAGTTCTGTTCTAGTTCTGTTCTAGTTCTGTTCTAGTTCTGTTCTAGTTCTGTTCTGTTCTAGTTCTGTTCTAGTTCTGTTCTAGTTCTGTTCTAGTTCTGTTCTAGTTCTGTTCTAGTTCTGTTCTAGTTCTGTTCTAGTTCTGTTCTAGTTCTGTTCTAGTTCTGTTCTAGTTCTGTTCTAGTTCTGTTCTAGTTCTGTTCTAGTTCTGTTCTTGTTCTGTTCTAGTTCTGTTCTAGTTCTGTTCTAGTTCTGTTCTAGTTCTGTTCTAGTTCTGTTCTAGTTCTGTTCTAGTTCTGTTCTAGTTCTGTTCTAGTTCTGTTCTAGTTCTGTTCTAGTTTTGTTCTAATTTTGTTCTAATTGTGTTCTAGTTCTGTTGTATCCTGATTTATTCTCTACATGTTGACAGACGGACATCGCTCATATCTTCATTATTTATGGGTAAATTTTTCAAATTTTAATTAAAAAATTCTTCAAATGCATGGTATGGAGAACTACAGAAGATTTAGTTCTCGAAGAAAATTTTTTAAAATTGTTTTCATCATAAGGATAGACAGACATCGCTAAAATGCACTTTACCTTTTAGAATTGTTTGTTGTCTAGTTCACATGGAAAAATCTTTCATTGTTGTCGTCCTCTGTTCAGAAATTCAGTTTCCTTGACATAATTCCTATGAATTTTTCAATCAGTGCACATGGGAATTTCACAGTCTAAATCCGCACGACCAATTTTGAATAGTTGTACCCTTAATGGTTTTGCGTTCGTCAAGTTAAATACCTCGAGCAACCTGAACACCTGATATCGCCCTAATTGCCTTCTGACTGTCGGTAAATGTGGCGCCATATTTATTCTAATCCAATTTACGCATTCCGTTACTGCTCGGACTTCACTAGTGTTGTAATTATTTAGATGGTAGACATCTCTAGTCCGAGTCCGTTTTTCCCTCATTTTACAGGCATATGTCCAGCAACGGACCATGATATTCTATCTGCGATCAGTGTTTCAAAGTTCCTGATACATTCGGTAACTGGTATATTTAACAACCTAATAAAACTTTAATTAATAACTTATTGTTTTTTCATTCCACCTTGTGTTATTTTAACTAATTTTCTTTCTTATTAAATACTGTTTATTTGCTTTCCTAACAAACAAATAACTGAAACAATTACTTTAATTTAAATTCACTTGCATAATTCTTCTTCTTTTTTTATACATTAATTTGCAATTGTTAGTTAAATATCAAATTACAAAAACAAAACAGCAAACAGAAATAGAAATGAAACAGTAATAGTATTTAATTTATTTAACTATTGCATTGAATCTTCATTATAACTAAAATGTATATATTTAACTAATGTAATTGTCATGTCAATTTTTTATTATCATTAAAAAACAAAAGTTAAAACGTTTTGTCATTGAATAACAAAACAACAATATGGGTGATAGATAAATGTTAAATGACTGAAGACGACTAGTGTTGAGGCTATAATAATGAAATGTTTTTTTTTAGTTTTTCGACATTAATCTTAAGATAGTACAGGAGATAAAGTGGTAATTGTTGTAAAAATACTATGTTTACCTTAAAATTTAACGATTTGACTTTAAAAACAATAAAAGATAAACATTTACAGACACTGGCGTTTATTTTTAAACTATTTGCTAAATGGTTTAAACAATTTTTACAGTAAGAACATCAAAAATTAATTTTATTGTACTTATAGTTCAGTCCTAGTTCTGTTCTAGTTCTGTTCTAGTTCTGTTCTAGTACTGTTCTAGTTCTGTTCTAGTTCTGTTCTAGTACTGTTCTAGTTCTGTTCTAGTTCTGTTCTAGTTCTGTTCTAGTTCTGTTCTAGTTTCTGTTCTAGTTCTGTTCTAGTTCTGTTCTAGTTCTCTCCTAGTTCTGTTCTAGTTCTGTTCTAGTTCTGTTCTAGTTCTGTTCTAGTTCTGTTCTAGTTCTGTTCTAGTTCTGTTCTAGTTCTGTTCTAGTTCTGTTCTAGTTCTGTTCTAGTTCTGTTCTAGTTCTGTTCTAGTTCTGTTCTAGTTCTGTTCTAGTTCTGTTCTAGTCTGTCTAGTTCTGTTCTAGTTCTGTTCTAGTTCTGTTCTAGTTCTGTTCTAGTTCTGTTCTAGTTCTGTTCTAGTTCTGTTCTAGTTCTGTTCTAGTTCTGTTCTAGTTCTGTTCTAGTTCTGTTCTAGTTCTGTTCTAGTTCTGTTCTAGTTCTGTTCTAGTTCTGTTCTAGTTCTGTTCTAGTTCTGTTCTAGTTCTGTTCTAGTTCTGTTCTAGTTCTGTTCTAGTTCTGTTCTAGTTCTGTTCTAGTTCTGTTCTAGTTCTGTTCTAGTTCTGTTCTAGTTCTGTTCTAGTTCTGTTCTAGTTGTGTTCTAGTTCTGTTCTAGTTCTGTTCTAGTTCTGTTCTAGTTCTGTTCTAGTTCTGTTCTAGTTCTGTTCTAGTTCTGTCCTAGTTCTGTTCTAGTTCTGTTCTAGTTCTGTTCTAGTTCTGTTCTAGTTCTGTTCTAGTTCTGTTCTAGGTTCTGTTCTAGTTCTGTTCTAGTTCTGTTCTAGTTCTGTTCTAGTTCTGTTCTAGTTCTGTTCTAGTTCTGTTCTAGTTCTGTTCTACTTCTGTTCTAGTTTCTGTTCTAGTTCTGTTCTAGTTCTGTTCTAGTTCTGTACTAGTTCTGTTCTAGTTCTGTTCTAGTTCTGTTCTAGTTCTGTTCTAGTTCTGTTCTAGTTCTGTTCTAGTTCTGTTCTAGTTCTGTTCTAGTTCTGTTCTAGTTCTGTTCTAGTTCTGTTCTAGTTCTGTTCTAGTTCTGTTCTAGTTCTGTTCTGTTCTAGTTCTGTTCTAGTTCTGTTCTAGTTCTGTTCTAGTTCTGTTCTAGTTCTGTTCTAGTTCTGTTCTGTTCTAGTTCTGTTCTAGTTCTAGTTCTAGTTCTGTTCTAGTTCTGTTCTAGTTCTGTTCTAGTTCTGTTCTAGTTCTGTTCTAGTTCTGTTCTACTTCTGTTCTAGTTCTGTTCTAGTTCTGTTCTAGTTCTGTTCTAGTTCTGTTCTAGTTTTGTTCTAGTTCTGTTCTAGTTCTAGTGCTGTTGTTGTTCTGTTATAGTGCTGTTTGGTGGTGTTCCAGTACTGTCTAGTACTGTTCTAGTTCTGTTCTACTTCAGCTCTGTTTAAATTCTAGTTCCCATTATTAAAAATGTTGTGCGAAAAGAATATAATCTTAAATTCCCTCTTCTTAGTTACATATTTATTTCTATACTACATTTAAACAAGTCTACAAATCATTAGGTCGGTAATTTATCATAAATATTATATTTAATATTCATCAACATAAAAAACCTTTTAAACGTAAATGTTTGTCAAATCGACTTTAGGCACACAAAAGTACATATTTATACTATAGATATAAACCAACAGAAAAAAGCTAAAAACAAAATTCATATATAAAATATATTAACGCATTTGGCCTTCAACCTTGTCAGAAAAGCAAAAAAAAAATATACAACAAAATATTATGAATGATATCTGCATTTCAAATAATAATGACA